CCTTTTTTTTCTCACATCCACTTCAAATTTCAATGAACATAGTTTGAATGTTCTCTTCTTGTTCCATGTACGGATGAATGTCCATATAACACACTAGTGATTTGTCTTCTGTCCATAGGTTCAGTGTCCATGTCTGGATTTTAGGCTCCGTGGAGCCAGGTTTAGCTCACCAGCATAAACTCAATCTAAGTATTTCCATGATTCAGCTGTGGATATCTGGGATTATGTATAACTTCAACAGAATATAAGCAAATCAATGTTTTTGTATTCAATGATACTGAGTATAGCATCATTAGCTTGTTTTAGTAGATATAAATTCATGCCTAATGCAAATATAAGAAAGTAGTTTAAGCGGATCTACAGAAACATGACAGCGCATGGGTTACACAACCTGCAACAGTTTTTCATTATCGTAATATTTTCTATGACGGAGGATCAGTTCTGAGTCTTGGAGACCTCTAATTCAACCGTTCTTCTTGATACAATGTTTCGTTTTGAAAATATTCTAAAACATTTTATGTGTTAATACTTATAACAGTTATTTCTGCACGTTAGAAAATGTTAGTAGAAAAATAGCACTTTAGGTGAATAATAGGCGTGAGTGGGTTTTGGGAATGAAGACCTGGAGTCTGTTCACAATGTTACCTGAAGTATTGTATATGAAACATGTAGAATTCTGTTTTTGTTTCACTGTTTTAGTTGTAGCTGGTGAAAATGTTATTAGACTGCTTTAATAATTCCTGCTTTAGTTTTCCATTCATCCATATACACAGATTAATTGTTATAAGTAAATTATATATAGTGCCACAGCCTGTTGAAAACATTTTTGACACTTATCTGTTAACAGTATTTATCCTATTCATGAAGAACCGAAAGCCTTTTTTTAAAAAGAAAGTTGTATTAGTAGATTTCACCTTCTACAGTATTTACTGTACATGCTCCCATTTTGAAGTTCTCACTAATGTGTTGGTTTTCCTACTTTTCAATGTGCAGCTTCTTACTTGTAACTGAAAATAAACACAATAAAAACAGGTTATGTGGCTTCAAACCTTTTTAATCATGAGTATATTTCACATTCACCGACACAAATCCTCTTACGTGACTTCAGTGTGTTCAGAGCGTGAGTTACAGAACAAAATGGAACTTGGTCTTCGTCTTGGCTGACACTTGTGCACAATGGATGCACACTCACATTGTTCATCGCTGCTCAGAAGCATCTTCAGGCCTTTCTTTTGAGTCATTGTATGAAATATATTTAACATGCACACCTGTTTTGTTTTTTTACGTGTACAGAGTGTGGTTGCTGTGGGTTAAATCACAAGTTTAAGATTCCTTTGTCTCCCTCTAGTGGATAAATAACCTTGATATGAAATAATCTTAATTTGTTGGTTGTACAAAAGAAGGAATGGGAATGCAAGCCAAATAAATTGTATACCATACATATACATGCAGCTGTTTGAATGTGTATTAAAAGTTTTAAAAAATTAATTGTACCTGCAATGCCTGGCATCATATCATTAAAAGCTGCAGATAGCAAATTAGACAAATAAATACAACAAAATAAATATTATACTCCTACATGGAAATAAACATGAGTAATAGTATTGTTATTTCCTACTGACTTTTCAATCCTGTGTCAGATTGTTTTTATTCTGCGTATAACTGACCTGATGGCCTAGCTTGTACTCTTTGTTGAAAGTCACGACAAATACTCATACTGTTATTACAAGACTAGAAAGCACCACATTTAAATCTGTTCAAGTCTGAGCAGCAACAGTTCTGATTCCTACACAAAAGGCAAACATACATTACATACATATACACACATCATTTTTGGCATATTCAGGTGAGGATGACTGCTCCCTTCAATTATGTGAGTTACAATGACAAATGAGATTTAGGCCGATTCCGCTCAGATTCTGATTCACTAAGAAATGGGTCTAATGTAAGTGAAATGAAGCAGGATGACACGTTGAGTAAAAGACGTAATTGTGGGAATGATAATCACACTGTCCCCCTTCATTCTATAAGACCTATTTAGAGATGTAAAGTACAGATGCCTCTCTGGTCATTTTCTTCTTCAGACTCCACTTCTTGCTTCTCATCCTGCACCAAAAGTTCCTCAAAGACTACAAGAGTCATGGTTTGTGTTTAAAATAGGCCTCAACTGCAGAGAGAAGATAGAAACAATACAGATATCAGCCACTCGAGATAGAGAAAAACCTAAATAACAACTTGTCTTAGTTGGTTTTTCAATTTACCTGCATACTCCTGAGGCAACATTGGTCTGTTGATAACCGTCTGAAATACAACCGTCCAGTCCTTCTGATCCTTCTCAGTCTCACATGCAAAAAGGAAATTCCTCTCCGGGGTCAATATGGTAATTCCAAACTGCCAGTGGTAGCCCTGAGTGTTAGCAGGGAGCTCAGGAAGCAGACTGTAGCCGTTCTCCTTACTGCCAATGAACACCTCGCCTCGTGCATAAGCGTCCTAAGAACAGAGGGAGAAACAATCTTCCTGATTTAAACACAAAATTTTACTTTCAACAAAATATACAATCACATATTTGATATTACATTATTTAGTGCACCACAAACCAAATGCTACTGAGTGCACTGTGTTGGTGCATGTTCTGAATTTTGGGGATATTAGGCTGTTTCTAAAAATACACAGATCGATAAACCACAGCGACATCTATAGGTAACAGTGTACAACTGCAGCAGTTTCACATACCAGTGGATCTTTGAAGTACATGAGCCTCCTGTCGTCCAGCGTAAACCACCTCTTCTTGAATCCCTCCCTGTGCTGTGGGACAGACACAGAGCCACAAATGAAAAGGTCCTCTGGCTTTCATGCTTTACCTCAGATATCATGAGTTCTACATATTTCTCTACCTATGTGCTGTGGTGGTATTCAGAAAACAACCCCTTACCTTTGGACCAGTCTTCTCCATGTAACCCTCCTTTGTGTAGTTCCTGGTTAGCGTCGGCAACAACTAGAGAAACAAAATACCTCGGTGATTAAACTCTGTGAATTTTAATAGTGTGTGAGTGCAGGTCTTCATGTATGCAGGGAAACAAACAGGAATGAGTTGTGTGTCCTGCAACACAGCTTAAGGAAGACTTAGATTCATATTTTATTTATTCAACTGTATCTAAATTCCACTAACAGAATAGAAAAATGAATGCATTCATTTATTTTGTTAATTTAAAAGTCATCAAAGAAAGCTTTGGATTCAATAAGTTAAATAAATGCTTGGTATGTTTTGGGGGTTTTTTTTGATTGCACAATTTAATCCCAACGCTTTCTGAAACTCACAAACTAGACAAACCAGTTGATGCCAGTGTCCTCAGTGGCAGCTTTAGCCTTGTGTGTATGTGTCTGTATTGATGGAAGTGCATATACTCACATCAGACTGGGGAGCCCCAGGAAAAGCCACCTGCAGGTAATGAAACCTGGCTGCTCTGATGGCGTTGAACCAGTCCACCATTTCCTTTGAGACAGAAGATCAGGAAGTGCAGTTAAACTCATGTTCTCTCTGTTTTATTTATCCATTTATCATAATTCAGTCTTTAATGATCACTTATCATAAAACTGTCACATTTTGTAAGGTTGTGTAGGTGTTGACCTTTCTACTAATTCAGACATTAATACACACGGATTTGTAATGACAAACCATTTCCACCAGATGGACACACACACACACACACACACACACACACACACACACACACACACACACACACACACACACACGTGCTTTCCAAAACACATCCCTGCTCTTTACTTCCTGGTCTAAACCTCCCCACAGACATTCAGTGCTACTCACCTTTCCATCCTCGTGGTAAACAAAGACATTCCTGGTGCTGTTGTCCTTCAGATAGGTTATCTGCAGGCCATGAGCTGTGCCAATTTTAGCCGGCTGGAACGTGGCGTTCACAGTATTCATCTTCATTATCGCTTTGGGCTCTCTGGCCTGCAGAAAGGAAATACAATTTTAGAGACAAGATCAAGTCAACCACGTCCTGAAAATGTTCTTCATTGAAAAAGTTCAATCATGTGGTAGATCCAAAAGATGTTGTTAGCACAATGATTGTGGTGTATTCAGGCAATACGATCCTTTTACCTCATTCATGGTGTTTCAAATGGTAAAAAGCACATTTGGAAAACATGCAGAATTGAACTTGTGAAAATAGAAGGATCTCCAGGAAACATTTTTGGACAAAATAACATGAATAAATAAAGTGAGATCAGTACTTCAGCTTCAGATGCGGAACAGAGAGAGAACACTCACATCATGCTTGTTGAAGTACTTCAGAACACCCTCCCGTTCGGACAGAATGAATTTTCGGCTGAGGTACTGTCCATTGTCTCTGCCTCGTTTCCATAGGAACCCCTCTCTGTATCCTGAGGGTCCCATTTCATCCACACGAGGTGAAAACATAGAGGCGACGCAACAGACTTTTACCAAAATATTAAATACAACACCTTAAAGTTTGTGTGTGTGTGTGTGTGTGTGTGTAAACAGAGTTTATTTCAGTGATGTTCACACTCGCAGAGGAGGCTTATTGGATGGAGGTGAATTATTGATGTGTGGTAAAAGCTGAGGCACTTCCTTCCACCCCTGCTGAGCTGCTTGAAGCAGTGACCACAAGCTAAAAGTGTGCACATATACTTACACACAAACACACACAAACACACACACTCCTTGTTGGCCTGATCCTGACACCAGCTTCTCTGCACATATTCAGCAAGAGCCAACACAAACAGCCTTGCACAAAGAATTGCACTGTCATTGCCCTTGACACACACTGGCATACTCACACCGATTATATTGTAATAATGATTTTAATGTTTCTTCAGGTTTGATGTCCAAATCCTGATTTGATGCAAACTTTGAAGCGACCAGCCTAATTTTAAACATAGATCCTTAGCTTTCATCATTCTAGCGAGACTGTGACACTGCAATTTCCATAAATTACAACTCCTGCAAGAAAACTTAGCATCAAGACACTTTTTCATAGTTTTTGTAGATTCTTTGTACCGTATAAAGTTATCAGGGTGTGGTGTGGGCCACAGGCAGCAGTACTGGCTTCATCAATTTTTCATGAGAGTGAATATTTTGTTTACTCGGAGGAGGGGGTCGGACTGTCCACAGCAACGGGACACGGCAGAGGAGAAGAGTCTGTAACAACAGGCTGTCAAATACTTGCAAACACACGAGAGAGCAAAGTCAGTTTCAGACCACAGCACTTGTCTTCCTTCAGGTCGCTGCTGGGGTTTTTTTTTTTTCATGCTCTCTTATGGGCGATGTTATATAGAATATTTGTACACAACAAAAGACACCATTCTTCCTCCACGGCAGAGGCACCCACATGCTCCTCGGCACAGCACAACACAAGAGGCCTTTGACAGAGAGGGAGGGAGACGGAGGACGAGCTCGACAGTCATGAGACTCTGATAATAGAGCTTTATCTTTTCTACCTTAAAGTGAGATTTTGCTTGTTTTACTTTTAGCATGCTCGTGTCATCTATTGCATGTTTTTAAATCACAAAAAAACATTCAATACATTTCGTCTGCTAGAGAAATACAACAGATTTACTTTCTCTGGAAAAGACGAGTGTGTTGATTTCCAGCATTCGACCGGTCTTACTGCGTAACTTTTACAAAACAAAAATTAGCTTATAATGGTGTTAAACACCTGTGTTTGAGAAATCCCAGGCCATATTTCAGCTCTTAAATGCAACGTAAAGGCACTTCTTAATGTGCCTGATGAGGTCTTGAAAGCAATAACCAAGAATTTCTGTGAGAATTTAGTAAAAGGAAACTGTGCTAATTTCTAACCTCACAATCTATTTCCTCATCTCTGTGGATACTAGTTAGTGAACCTGACTGTGTGGCTCTAACAATAACATCACTTTCCTTCAAATTTGTCAGAATAATCCCAACTACTGCCCCCGCAAAGAGCGAGGGGGAGAAATAACACGGTAGTGTCAAAAACCAGGCTTTCTATTGGGTTTAACTGATTTCATTTTGCACAACTTCCTGTTTCCGGCTCAGATGTTACAGAGGGAAACAGACAATAAAAGCTGATATAGAGCGTGGTCTGTGGCCATCAGGTTTTATCAGCAGAACATATAGACATTTCTGACAGCTTCACATTTCCTCTTTAACAGAGCCAAAGACTAGTAAGAGGCAATTAAACGGTGAAATTCGCAAAAGCAAATCTGAGGTGAAAAAGTGTTAGAAATGATGTTAAATTTAATTTAATAATTAGTTTACATGTTCATGAGTGTGTCATTAACACCTGGAAAGTAAGTTTTTAGTCATAACGGTCCACTAACAATGGCATTGTGTTCTAAACTCTGAGGAGAAGTGAGCTGAGGGCAACGGCAAAATGATTTCACACAGTCAACCACAACAAAGGGGTGAGATATTTTGCAGTTTGGCAGAAACAGGGGTCAATGTACAGACGACAACAGAAACAGTGTAGAGCAGAAAGAAACGAGGACGCACACGGAGCTGAAGGACGAAGTACTTTCATTTGTAGATTGACTTCTTGGCTGAGAAGATAATCAGGCACCTTTTATGTTAAAGTTGAAGTTGGTACATGCTTAGCATAGCTTAGCATAAAGACTGGAAGCAGATGAATACTGCTCACCTCCTGTGTTTATGATGCAAATATCTCTTACAACACCTCCAGACTCTAACTTGATGCCAATTAACTTGAGTATATGTGAATTTCTTGAATTTTACATTTTTTAGGTTTTAGAAGTAGTTAATAGCTCAGTATATATTTTTCACTTTTTTCACATTTTTGAGCTATTCGTTCAAGTCGAGGCGGGGCAGCAAAGATGGACGTGAATGGAGGCCTCCTCACCCTCCTCCTCTTTCACTCATTATGTGATCGGCTGTTTTGAGAATGTTGACAATGATAAATGGGCGAAGCTGTTTTCCTGCTGAGTATTCCATCAATGCTGAACAGAAGGTGCTGTGCAAGACACAGACAATTACTTGTTTTCCAGAGTAAGCCAGTGGTAGATTGTGTTTGGGTGCTTGACTGTGCAGACAAGCATATATTTCTTACCTGCAGAGTAGGGCTCCTGCCTATCCACACAAAGAAACTCCTTCCTCTCGTACTTGGCTCGAATCCATTGTTCCCGCAGGAGCCTGCAGAACAGTTGGTGTGGGACACTCAGAGTTTGACGATCACCTGATTTTTGAGCTGATTTGTTGGAAACATCTCATTAAATTACAAAGAAGTCGAGCCTCTGAGCTACATTTCATGCTAACTCTGAACAAAAGTATTATTTGGCTCTTTTATATCTCATATCTATTTTTATTATCTTAATTTCTCCAGGTGTAACATTCACAAAGCATATTCAGAATGTTTTCAACTAAGATGACTCATTTCAACATTTAATCTGCATTCAGCTCCAAGCTCTTCATGGATTTGAACTGTTGCCTCCTGTTAGAACTACAGGAACTTGGCACTCTTATCATAGAGAAATTCTACATGCCCGCATAGGTACCAGACCTACTCATTGGCCCATTTGTTGCACAATAATTGTAGTTTTCCTTTAGATAAAATAACCACAATACATTGACTGAGGTTTAAAACGTAGCTGATCGGTGTCAGACACTGCAAAGGACTAACATTTAATGTATGAAGAAGATGACATCTACATTTTTTATTGTATAAATTAACAAATGTGGTTATAATAACCTTAATTTCCCAGATAAGAGTTTCTATGGTATCCACCTGAGCATCAGATGTTTACTCATCCATCTTTTAGAGGTGACCACTTGTACAGAAGTGGAAGCAGCTCCTCGATCAGATATTAAGGAGGGTGGAGGACCACATCACTTACATGCAGTCTTTGTGTGTGGGTTGGTAATAGAAAGCAGGAACTAGCTTCTCATATTTGGCCTTGGCAGCATTGTTACCAGTAGAGTCCATAAACTGTGAGGAAAAGGGGAACGCACAGAGAGAATGATGACAAAACACACCACAAACTAATTTCTTGCGCACATTCTAACATGTAAACCCAAGGGGACATCAGCATGACATAAACCTGTGACTTTAAGTCTGAAAGTCACAGTCGCAGACGTTATTTCAAGCCAAGTTTTAGCCCGCTCATCTCTTGTAAAACAACTGGGCTCTCTACTTTGTTCAGTGTGTGAATAAAACCCTTCAGACGCTCTCACCTCCACCTCTGAGGAGCTCCAGGGATCCAGCAGGAGAGACTTCACCTTGCTGATCTGAGCAATGTTTCTGTGGAGGCCTGAGCAGCTGTGACACACAAACACACCCAGGGTATAGGAGGCCCACTCTGGGTCTGCAAAGCAACATAAAGATTTGTTTGTAGAAGCATAAAACACACATACAAATATTGCACTGAGGAAAAGATTTTCACATGTCCCATGTATGCTCATATTAGTGCACAAAGGGTTTGCACTGAACTTGATTATAAAACAGAGTTAATCCTCAGAGAGATGATATCATAGCTCAGCTCCACAGATGATCAATATTTGGGTAAAAAGGAAAAGTCTGGAGAATGTCCAGACATTGTCCAGCATTCACGACATCAGTGAAGGTTTACCTTGAATGACTCCATGTTTTTGTAAATGTATTTTGGGTAGAATAAGGTTTCATCTTAACTCTTCCAGAGGCCGACATTAACATATCTATTTTGTAAGTACATATATTCCATCTAGATAAATTCACAGATATATCATGTGTCTGTTCAATAAAGTTTGCAAAATGTTACACTTCGGCGCTCGTGACATTTCACTGTTCTCTGCTCAGTGAAAGGTCTGAAGTTTAATCATTACTTTGAAGGCCCACAAGTGTGGGAAAAGTGCAGCATGGCAAACATTGTCCCATAGATCAATAGATCCTGTTTTTGTCTTTCATTTTTTAATTACAAGATACAGTAAACTAATCCATTTCAATTCAGGCCGGTCAAGAAAAACTGAAAAACAACGTGTGAAACACTGCACACACAGCTACTCCTACACTTCAAGGTCTCACTTTCAGAATCATTACTCTGATGCAAGGTGAGATTACAGCTGCCGTCGTGGTTATTTTGTAAGTGAGCCAGAGAACTACAGCAGTGTGAAGCCGACTATCAGTGAGCTGCAGCTCTTCAACCGCTGCTTTTGGCGACTGAGCAAAAATAGCACAATGAAAAAGATACTTCCTTGTGCACACAAGCATCTGTACAAAAAAGAAATGCATGATGTGGTTAGGCATTATTTTGTGTGTCTGTGTGTGTCAGCACATAGAGGGTGAACACACAGTTTGGAATAGGAGTTTAACAGGTTTAGTATTTGTCATCAAGATCTTCCTCACCTCCACACAGAGTAGATAAGTCTTAATAAACAAACCACACCTGTTTGCATGTAACTACAGATATGACAAAACGCAAACCAGGGTGTGAGTATGAGAGTACATGTAATATGTGCATGCTGAAGGAAATCAGCCAAGAGATAAATACACATTTGGTCCCTGAATGTTTGAATGAAAATCCACCAAGTTGAAGTGAGGAACACTTACAGCTCAGCAAGTGCTGGTATGAAAGGGGTTACACATTAGTTAGATTGCTCTCCTGTGTGAGGATTGTGTTAACTGTTATATCATAACCCTGCTTAATCGTGACTGACAAATAACTTCGTACCAGAGGCAGTTTACAGTTTATAACATCCCACAGTGGATGACAAATGAATAGGATGGTCATACATCGTAACCCCAAACAGATTTCATAAGAAACATGTGTCCAGCATCTGTTAACTCTCCATCTTCTAGCATACCTGCAGCTCCGCAGTCGGCACACTCTCCATTCCCAGGTTTCTCCAAAAGCTGTTTCATTCGCCCTCTGTTATTTTCTTGATCCGAAGCCATGATGACACAGAATTTGCTCTGAAGACTCATCAGCGTCTGGAAACCTCAAACTCTCATGCATCGAAAGTTACAACATATTTTTTTCTAGCACCGGCCGGACGCGCTGGACTGAGTAGACACAGTGCGTCATGACGCGCTGAAACACCATGGAGTGGAGGGTGCGTGTGAGCAGAGGGGCATGGTCAGTGTGATGTCGGTGCTCCAGTCACTACTTGATTCAACCCAGCTCTTCGTGGTGTTTGTCTGGAGTGAGACACCCAGCGGAGGATCGCACTCCTTTCTCTTTTACTCTCCAGACACCGAATACACACACATGTAGTCCACAGGCAAAAACACAACAAGCCACAGAAAAAACATTACAGAATGTATACAATAGAGGAATATAAAATTATTGTATAATTTTTATTATAGTTTAATTAAGTTTGACCTCAAACAGTCCAAATCTGCCTGAAATATGACATCACACAGGTGTTTCCAGTTGATAAGACCCGTTTGCAGGTTAAAGGTGGGTGGAGCTGGGGAGGGTTTTAAATAACAGGGGGATGGAGACGTCACTCAAGCAGCGTCAGTACACCCCCCCACTCTAAATGAGCCTGTGAGTGCAACTTCATATGTGTGATCTGCTCCAGGTGCCACAACAAATGATCCAACATTTACAGGAATATTACAGCCACTCGAAAAAAGCATGTTCGTACTATGATTTCCTGAATATAATTTACTGAATATATCTACTCAGTAAATGATGCCTTTGAAAAACAAACGACAGCTGCTACACTATACTATACTGTACATTCTGTAAAAGCACATGAATTGCAAATGTTCCCATTGTGGGAGTATTAAAAGATTATCTCATTGATCTTATCTTACCAGAGGTCTTATGAGTGATCCTGTATTTGTGGAACTATACAAACACTGCTGTTTGTATTCGGATGTCCATATTTATTTGAAATTAAAATGGCACTCAGTAGAGCACCTACTGCTGCCAAGGCCCAACAGTCCCTTTAAATCAAATCAATCTGCAACACATTGCACTCACATATAGATATTAGTTCCCTTAATGTGACTTTTTTGGTCAAGATCTATGAATTATTCCATGGGAAAACTGAATAAAAGTTGAATAAAGGAAAATCCTTGATCGGCTCCCTGGTCATGATCAATCCATCCATCCAATATCTATACCACTTATATTAGAGGCTCACGGGGGTGGAGCCAATCCAAGCTGTTAATAGGCGAGATGATCCGGATCTGTACCAAAATTCACTGTGTTCTTCCCTGAGCCATTCCACATGTTTCGGGGAAATCCATTCAATAGTTTCTGTTTAATCTTGCTTAAAAACAAACTAATTAAATACCAAAGACCAAAGGGACAGGTGAAAAAAACACCAGTATGGCAGCAGTAACAAAAGCAGACACATTAAATGTTTTCATGTTCTCTAAAAATAAGTACAGTGAGTAAGTTGTAAGGCTAAGTTGAGCAGGGCAAACACAAACCAAGAGAGTTGAGGCAGAATCTCCCCTTGACTGTTACAAACAGAACTCACACACTGTACATGTTTCAGAACCTTTATTTGTCAAAATATCAAAAAGAAATTCAGAACATGGTCAATAGAGGAAACACTTTAAAAAAGAGACCAAACTGAGCCTGACTCAACACTGCCAACTTTTCAGGATAAACACAAAATAAAAAACATGCAGACAGATGTTTAGAAAATCAGATGACCCTATTTCTGGTAGGTCCACAATATCAGTCAAAGCAGGAGGGTGATCACTTGGAATCTGGAGGCAGGAAACCTTTCTATCTGGAGGAGTTAGAGCTGGAGCGGGAGCGGTGGCGCCTGCGACCAGGAGATCTGGAGCGAGAGCGGCGCCGTGGTGGGGACCGCCTCCTCGGTGAGCGAGACCTGCAAAAACACAGAAGGAAAATATTTGTGGTGTGAGAGCTGGAAGAACAAAATACAATGAATAAATAGCACATATAGTGCACTAGTGTGCAAACCAGGTACAGGCAGACATTTCACTGAAATCACACTGACCTTCTCCTCATGCGTGGAGGGCTGCGACGCCACATAGGTGGTGGTGGGGGCATTCTGCGAGGGGGAGAGGGTCTACGAGGAGGAGGGCGGACTCGCTGAGTCAGCACAGCAGATGCAGAGATCTCCTGTCCGTCAATCTGACCTGTAGATAACAAAAGTCATTCCTTGTATCAATACCCACAGTAATCTTGTGAGACAGACGCACTGAGACAAACACTCCAGCCCACCTCCGTCCATGTGTTTCAGGGCCTTTTGGGTGTCCTCGGGGGTCTCAAACTCCACGTAGGCGTAGCCCCTGGACAAGTGTGGGTGGAGCCTGTCCACTGGCATGTCAACCATTTTTATTTTCCCGTAAGTGGAAAAGATCTCCTGGATGTGGTCCTGTGCAAAAAAGGTAGACAGATACTTATCATTACTAAAACAAACATTCTTGATTATCTGTGGAGGAATATTGTTATTGTTGACAAGCAAATTAATCTTTATCAAAATGCTGTTTGCTAAAAATAGGACATTCATATTATGGAACGATAAAATCAAAACGTTTTCTTTCCTTAATTTTTACTTACTGAGGTAATGTCTTCATTTTAAATCATTTTCAAACCTTTAGAAAACCATGATATAAAGAGTAGCCGCTTGAAAGCAGCAGAGTGACCACTTATTTTTGCTTGGGTGCGAAATGGGTAAAGACTTCTTTTTGCTGACCTTGGTGACATTCCTGGTCAGCCGTCCCAGGTGAAGTTTAGTTGGTTTAGGGCTCGGGCTTCTTTTCCTTCTTTCTTTATCATCTCCCCTCTTCTGTGTTTTGGACCTGCAGAATCACAGACAAAACATAGATTAACTTCATGATGATTTAAACAAACAGTTTAGCAAATATTGCAAAAACTCTGTGCGGCCGCATTCAAAGAAGTGATTTACTCTGAGCGTGAGCGGCGGCGGTTGTCATGCCGTCTGCGGCTGGGGCTCGGGGAGCCAGAGGAGCTGGAAGACGAGGAGGAGCGAGAGCTAGAGGATCCAGAGCGACTGGAACCAGATGAGCTGGACCCACTTGAGGAGCCGGAACTGGAACCAGAGCTGCTGCTCGATGCAGAGCTCGATCTGGTCATATTCAAAACATAGATGAACTTTAGTAAAAAAATATACAAAGTAAAGAACCATATTTTCATAGACATGGTTACTAATGCATGTAACCAAAACAAACCTGTTGCTGCTGCTACCAGTCGAAGCACTGCGTCGTTTCCTCACTTTGTCCCGTCCTCTCTCCTTGTCTCCTTCCTTTGTCCCACTCTTTTCTTTACCTCTGTCTTTAGATTTCTCCTCATCTTTCCGCTTTGTGGGTGATGGTGCCCTAAAGTCAAAGAAAAAGTGGTGTTATATTACTGAGATCATATGCGTTGTATGATGTAGGGCTTCAACAGTCGATCATTTTCATCGTCAATCAATCTGTCAAGGCCATAAATTTGAACATTTGTCATTGAGTTAATACTTAGTCGGAGCTGCAGAACGATAGCCAAAATTCTTCAAACTACAATCATACAAAAGAAGCAAATTCTCACTTTTAAGATGTAACCAACAACAACAATCGACTTTACGATAATAAATCATAAAAGTTACTTTTTAATAACCAAAATGTTTGGCCATTAAACGTCTGTGGATCATTGATATTACTTCAGGACAAGACAAAGTAAAACGTTTCTCCGTCATCACATGACCAGCTGTGTGCTCGTGTCAATAAATCGCATTTAAACCAAACGTAGCAAATAAACTAAATGTAAACTTTTGGTCGGAGGTAAAAACAGAAAGTTACATCATTTAAACCACTGAACCGTCGCAGGTTTTTTTACGCAACGACCAACAACAGAAACCCGCCGCCATTGATTTCCATTCTACACCACACGGCTGGCAGCTTGATCACCGTTTGTCGACAACTTCCACTCTAATAAGATGTTCACAGTATTAAAAACATGGCGCATGCTTTCCCCATCTCACCGCCTACAGTATTTGATTAACATGAGCTGTATTTAAAATATGTTTAAGACTGAACTTACATTTCGTTTAAACGAGGGACTCCGTTTCGAACACCGACGGCGCGTTAGTCGCTCGGTGATGATGACAGTGCGGATGTGACGTCAGAACATGAGCGCCGCACACAAGTCGTTTGTTTGTATTAGTTCTGACAGACGAAAGAAAAGCGAAATGTGCGTTTTCTGCGCGTATAGTTGCATCGAAGCTGTGCGAGGACGAAATGTGTCATCCCGGAACTTGAACTGATTCCATCTGACAAGAAACAACAATCCGCCTCACGTCCCAGCAACAAGGTAAACGCATCACTTTACAGACCGATCATAGTGTTAGCTGTTGATGTTAGCCAGTTCAGCTAACGTGAATTCAACACCAGATACACATAAAGGCCTATATGTGTATTATTTGTGTATTAATGTTTAGCCAGGAGAGACCAACGTTATTTATTTTATTCAGTGGCGCCGAGCATTGTTTGGTTTGTTCCACTTAAAAGTTAAACTAGTTTTCAATCTTCTCATAAATACATTCACGATAAGCAATGAACACTTTGCCTGGTTTCTGATTCATACTATAAAAAATAGGCAATATGGCATATTTAAAAAAAACAAAAACAAGCAGTCGAGGTAAAATACCCATTTGTTTTTTAATCACATTTTAATCTGATATAATGTGTGTCTCATAAATACCATATAACTAATCCAACCATATAAACAGCTGTCTAACTAATTAAATGATTGTGCAATTCGAATTCACAAGGGGCCAATAATTTAAACACAAATTCGATTATATACCGTTTTGATTAGTGATATATCTTATGGAAGATGATTTCGTGTTGACATGACTGATGTAAGGTTAATTGTACAAGAAACCTTTGATGTATTATTAATTGATATATTCATCATTTGAGAAGAATATACATCAGAGTTGTGACATTGATGTGTGCTTTTTCATTTCTCAGTCTCAAACATACATAAATATTAATATATTTATATTTTGTTATATCAGTTGTCTAGAGACTACCAGTCTAACTCCAAGAGCTGCACTCCTTTGTGAGACCATGGGCCGGCTGGATGACGCCGCCAAACACAAAGTGGTGGAGCTGAGGAAAGCTGGTCTGAGTTTCCGTAAGATCAAAGCCGTGCTGGAGCTGGAGAACATCAAGGTGTCTGCCCAGGCCATCTACCTGTTCCTGAGGGAGTTCCAAGGGAGGCCCCCAGGGAGGGTCAGACCTGTGGAGGGTGGAGGCAGCACAACAACAATAGCACACATGCAAGCTCGAGCTGGGGCAGTACAAGAGAGCTGGAGTAACATTCATCTTCAAAACCTACTACGGGAGGCATCTCACCAGGCTGGCTTCACAGCAGCTGCGGACTTTGCCAAACAAACTTCTTCAAATCCAGAGGCTTGTGGAAAGCCACCTGGGTTTGGGGAGACCAGCGGAGGCAGCAGGTCAGAACAGCAACGCGTGGGAGATAAGGAAGAAAATGACATCCAGATTGTTAGCGTCACCTCCCTTGCACAGAACAGCCAACAGAGAGGTCCCCAGTCCACTGTAACACGAGCAGAGATAGGCGCTGTGTCAGCCACACCAACAGGTTCTGGGGCATTCATGAGGAGGAGAGCCACATCTTCTCCAGCCACCAACTCAATGTTGGCAGCTCGAAGGAGGCTTTTGGATAAAGCGCTGTCACACAGGATGAAGGTACCTACCTAAACTTAAGTTACTTCATGTGTCAACAGCTATTGTAATTATGTTTACAGTTGCACAAAGCTGTATAATTTACCAAATACGGATGTTCAGCAAATTCAGACATGTCCCCTGGGTAAAATCTGGAGAATTGGCTACAGAGTTTAACACGCAGTTTGCCATTCAGACATGCACAACACAGTTGCAGGTTCTCTGCACAGACACTTTCACAACAGCAAAAAATCTTCTGCATTATTCAGGCGAGAGGTGGAGCAGCCGGATGCAGCAGACAGAGGCAGGATGATTTAGTTTACAGCACCCAGACACTGTTGTTGTCACTACATACTCTCTTGACATCTTCGTCTGTATCTTCTACATGTGTGACACTGCTTTTTCACACACACACACACACACACACACACACACACACACACACACACACACACACACACTCACACTCACACTCACACACTCAGTCGCAGTGAATCCAGTGGGGGAATCCCCTGCTGTGTTATCACATCGACTTCTCCTGGATTTCTACGGACTTAATAGTCCAAGACAGGTGGATAAAGTCCGTAGAAACTGGAGCATCTCACTCTGACATTTGCGTTCACACATGCACCTCCTCCGAAGAAAATACGGATGAACGCAATCCAGTGCATGTCTGAATGTCTCTAATCCCAATTTACATAAATTGTGTTTCAACAGTCATTCCACCAGGTGGCATCGTTGTTCAGGAGAGATCACTCAAGTGTCCAGGGGTCCAATATGAGTAGTGCAATACCTCAGCTGCCTGAAACATATGATCTGACCACTGAAAAGGTGAGAAAAGCTCAAACCTCAAACAAAATAACAGATCTCAGACTTTGTTCAGAACTGAAGTGTGTTCCAGCTCTTTATTAAAATTAAACTGTAACTAATTTTGAGACTTTTTGCTTTTATGCATGTAGCTGGTTCCAGGTACTACTGTATTCCAGCATATATCTGTCGTAGTGTATGTCTACACATGAATATGGGAGATTAACCAACTGAATAAAAAAACATTATGATTGCATTATAACTTTAACCATTTCTTTTGCATGTTGAACAGACTGTTATGGAGGGTCAATCTGGGGGAAGTGGTGCCCCCAAGCGTTTTCTGACACAGAGACCAGGTCTGTCTGTCCGTTCTCCTCACCCACCTCCTCGGGTTGGCATTCGTCTTCCTAATCGCCTGGGAGCACCTTTCACAACCTCAGCTCCAGGGGTGTCCATCATCCGCCTACAGACCACTGGTGGCCATGGTGCTACTCATAGTGAACAAAACCCAAGCCCACAGCAGGCAGCCCAGGACACTGGAGGGAAAGGTGTTCTGCAGGATCAGATTCAGACCCTGGGTTCTGAGGTGCGCAGCTTGGGCCTGGCAGTGAAGATGCTTGTGGAGCAGCAGTGCCGTGTGGAGCGGGAGCAGGCGCAGCAGACACACGTTCAGAAACAGATTCTCAGCACTCTGCAGAGCCTCACCCTCAAACTGGGACAGTGTAGCAGTTCTCAACAGCAGCAAAACAAAACCCCATCACCCTCTGCTTTGCCAACAGCTTCTGCATCTACCTCCTTCAGCCAAGACAACTTCAGCTTTAGTCGGGGCACATACACACAGTGCAGCCAAACCCAGCCAAGCTACAACTCTTTAGAGAGTTTAGAAAATGTAGAGGCCTTTAAACTGCCAGGACTGAGCCCTACCAGTATGAATGGGTTTCCTCCATGTAGCAATGCTGAGAACCTTCCACTTACTCACACTCCCCCTCAAGCGCAACCATATGCAACTGCATACACACAGCAAACCAGCCAAAATCTCATGCCACCCTACACACAATCCTACGCCTCTACATTCACACAGTCACACTCTCCGAGTTTCAGAATACCAGAGAGCAAGTCATCTGGTTTCCCTGGTAACTGCTCAGCGAGGCCCCTCCAGGACTGCAGCGTGTCTACGCAACCGCTGGTGAACTCCAGTCACGCTGCACAAGATCAGCAGCTCAATATTATCAAAGTGGAGGGACCGTAAAGGGCCTCTGATTCAACAATGTTCTGGGACAATAAGGGCTTGGATTTGCTTTTTAAAAGTCACTTTGGTGTATTAATTTAAGATGCACATGTTTTTACATTAAGCACAGTTGTAGCATTTTTTAATTTATTTATTTCCAAAGTACATTTTAAGAGAATACATACAGCAATAGAATGAAGGGATTACAATGCTTTAGGAAAAATGTGGGTATGGTTTGTCTTTACCATGAATTATAAATTTAGAAAAATGTACGCGTGAGCACTTTTTTGTACAAAACCCTTCTTGTTTATTTTGTATGAACTGTTACTGTTCATACCTCAATGCTGACTGATTGAAAAATAAAAAAAGAGCTGGCTATGATTGAAAGCACACTCCCATTTCAGTGTTCTAAGTAGTGTGTGTTACATTAAATCATATTTCTACATAAATATAAGGAAATGGCCTGGGTTAAAGGAGTAAGTGTTTTCCCACTCATCTTCATCTTGAAGAACAGACGACAGTAGAATAACCACTGGGGTGCCCTAAAGCATGGAGGAGATGGTGGCAAAGTTTAGGTCGGATTGTAAATGTTTTTCACAGTTCCAGAATCATTCAAACCCAATTTAAGTCACTACTGTAAGTGGCAGAGTAAACCAATATTTTCAGTGACCACACTTTGCTGTAATAATAGATTGAATTGTCCTTACTACAATTAAACTAAAATTTCAAGTTTCTGATTCATCTTCGGTGACATAATAATATACTGACTCACAGGTATAGAATGGGTTCTTTCCTGACCCGTGTGCCATTCTTCCACCAAACTTGGTGGAAGTACGTTAAGAAGTTTTTGCATGATCCTGTTGGAAAAACAAACAGTGGACAAAACAAAGCCTTCTGGAGGAATTGACCGTTTGTGTTAGTGGGTGAGGCCACATGTAAAGCAAATAGGGTTTACAGTGCATCTGTTATAACACTTGGACAAAGTATTGCCCCATCTAAACCCACCTCAGTGCCTACTGGGTTAGTTTAGGTCTCCAGGTGAGTATTACATCATTTCCCAGGTGGTCTGGGTGCTGTTTGCTCTGCTCCACAGTTTCAGTGCAAAGCTCACAAAGCACTGTTTTTTTTTTCTTGCTGAAGAAATTAAAGTGGGTTATAAAATGCAATATTGTCTATAAGGAAAATGTTCATCTTTGGCTTATATCTTCAAACACGCCAGCATACTTATTTTGATTCACAAAATCTGGATCATTATCTGGTCTGCGCTGATTTTCACGTGTTCATGGTCAGTGGCACTCTACACATGCCTGATTGTTTCTTATGAAATCCACAAAAATGTGGGGGAAATACCTTTCTTTTCGCAATATTAAAGAAAGTAGAAAACAAAACGTATGCCCCCTCAATTTAATGCCACTGTATCCAACAAATAATCAAAAACAACCCTTTTCCTAAAGGAAAATGACACAGACAGACAGCAAAGAAAACATAACCTGTTTTCTGGCTGAGCAACTCTATTTAAATTCCATTTTCTCCAACATCCTCTCCCTCTGACATGACCCGACACATCTCTCTCTTATGAAGCTGCAGCCTCTCCAAAGAAGGCATGCTGCAAGTTAACAATTAGCTGCCCCTGGTAAATCAGATACAAATTCGTTTTAGAATTCCATCTCTTGAAACAACTCTTTAACAGATCCGCTCCGTTTCCAGCCAAACCCGGTCAGGAGCAGCTTAAACTTGATTTATTCACTCGATCAACGCATGAGAAAAAAACATTTTTGTCAGCTGATAAAATCATTATTTAAAAGCAGTTTAAACTCAATTTCCCCTTTATGAAATTATTATTATTTATTTGTTAACATCAAAACATTATGACAGAACAAGTTTATCTTTATTTCGATTTATATTATGCAGGAGGAAAAAGACAGGCACTAAAATAAAAGATCAATTCAATTAACTGAAAGCAGGAATACACTCATGTCATCTCTTACTATAAAAGACTAAATATATTCAATTTCTATCAACCTGTTCAAACTAACATCAACAAATTCTATATATATAAAATAAAAAAAAAGGCTAGTCTGTGCTCCCATCTTTAATTAGTTCATTATCTTGTCAGGTAAGTTCTATCTCCTGATGCTGATCTGAATTTATTTACAGCTCTTGATCTTGAGGATTTGAATAGCATGAAAAGAAAGAAAAGAAATCCCTCACTGGCGACTGGCTGCACACAGCTCAAGAGGTAAAGGGCTGAGGATGAAGCCCACAGCCGGCGTCAGATCCAGTTCATCYTCCGTAACGCCTGGTGGAGGAGTGAAGCGAAAGCGCTGAAGGAGGGAGGCGAAGAAGATGAAGAGCTCCATCTTTGCCAGACTCTCTCCGAGGCACACTCTGCGACCTGGAAGAACAGCGAGCGAGTTGCAAATAATCACGTGTTGAAGTGTAAATTAGTTCTGATCGATGAAGGAACATAAAACATGTGAAGAAGCTGCTATACCTGCAGAAAAGGGCATGAAGGCGTCTCTCTTSATGAATTTACCCTCTCTGTCCAGGAAGTGAGAAGGGTTGAAAGTGTGTGGCGTCTCCCATTCGCTCTTGTCAGTCAGGACAGAAGTAAGAAGAGGAAACACAACAGTCCCCTGTAATGACACGAGAAAAAAACCTGTAAAGCCTAAAAATGAAGGCATTTCCAAGTGTTCAGAGGTGGAAGACCCAACAAACACAAATGTATATGTATTGACCTGAGTGAGGGACTGACCGCTTTAATAAAGTAGCCCTGGAAKGTGATGTCTCGGCTGGTTTTGTGAGGAATGGCCATGGGGACAATGTTAGCCAGTCTCTGCGTCTCATGGACGACGGCGTCTGTGTACGGCAGGTTCTTCCTGTCCTCCACTCGAACCTGACGGCCTCCGATCACCCTGCTCAGCTCCTCCTGCACCTGGTCTGTTATCACAAGAAGAGTAACAACAAAGCATGTTTGAACACCATCCTGAAGACTGATCAAATAAAGCTGCAGCCTCTCCAAAGAAGGCATGCTGCAAGTTAACAGTTAGCTAATCTGGTTAATCAGACACAAATTCATT